TGTGTGTGTGAGTGTGAGTGTGAGTGTGTGTGTGTGTGAGTGTGAATGTGTGTGTGTGTGGGTTTGTGTGTGTTGTGTAGGCCTACTAGGAAAAATCTCGCAATTACCTTTTTATTTTCTTGTTACAAGGTTGGGAGGAAATGGACTTCCATAGAAATGTGCTTAATTTAAAAAAAATTTAATACTAATCTAGGCTTTTTACTTTTGAGAGTTTTTTGTACTTCCCTTTATTGTCAGTTGTTATTCTCATAACTGTATTAGTTACAAAAACATGTTAAACTGATATTTAAGTCAGCATTGTAAATGCAGCACAATAAATGAAGTACCTTACAGTATAAAGTACACATAATTGTTGCTGTTTTTCACATTACAGTAACAAGAGTTTGGGAGTAAATGTGTTTAATTGTCATAAAAAAAACAAATCTTAATGGTCTTAAAACAGCCTTGTTTTTGCCCTTAGGCAAATATAATTTCTTCGTTCTCTCTTTTAAATTCTGAATGTAATGTAATGTAATGTAATAAGAAGCCGTGCATGTTCTGTGTCAGACAGTCATACAGGTTTGGAACGATGTTGGCGTGAATCATGATGACGGATGAAGAGTTTAGACAGATGTTCTTCTTGTTTTCCAGTACAAATGTCTAAACATCCTTCAATCAAGATACACTTACTGGAGAAGCTAAATTACATCAGATGTTAAGTTTTGTCTTCTTGTTCACGAGGGAAGAATGGTTAAAACAAGAACAAATACCCACCAGTGGGGTCAGAAAAACAGTCTTGTTTCTTGAATTTCTGAATAATCTTGAAGGGGATTTTTCTGACCGCATCAATATATTTTTTTAAGCATAAACTTCATTTTGATGCATTTTTCAGAAAACAAAACGTCATTTTGTTTCTCAGGTGACTGTGAATTGATTTAAAAACAAGACAAAAATACTGAGTAAGAAAAAGCAAAAAGAAACACATGCATTAGGAATCTCCATAAAACATATTAGAATTCTATTTTTTGCTGGTCTGTGGTTTTCTGGTAAACATCATCTATTACGGTACATTTAGTTGTCAATCTTTCTGTATGTCAAACTTGTTCTTGACACACTGCGTGTTTGTTTATTACATTCCTTGACTGTTTTCAGCTCTTAATAAAAGTCTATTACGCTCAGGTCGAGTCGTGCTTATTTCTGTAGCACTGTACACAATGCAGCTTCACAGAAATAAACAGGAAAATAATTATGAAACACATTCAGTTTCAGCTGTAAGACAACAGAGTCCTTATTCTTCAGCTTTTGTCCTCATCCGAACTCTCTCAGCTACTGTGTGTTAAATCTACATTCTGCAGATTTTTTTATATACCACACAGAAATGCATTAGATCATTAGCAGATATTTCTTCTGGCTATAAGCTCAATTTAAGAGTGTTTGGATATTTGTCCCGGAAAACAAGACTGAAACACTAACCTGAAGACGTCAGGGTCAAGTCTGATTATGGAAAGCCTCTATTTTGATGTCAAACAAACAGACTGATGTGTTGATAGAGTCACAGACTGACGTACACGCTACAAAAAAACTATTTTTTTAAGATAACTGAAGTATGTTTTACAAAGTAAATACTATTTCAGCTTTTCTACTTCTAAAGTTCACATTTAATTCAATGCATCACTGAGAGTGAAAATTGTTTCTTCACCAGTGTTACTTTAGGATCACTGAAATAATATTATAGTTTTAATAAGTTTTAAATTTAGTTTTCATTTTTAATTATTGATATTATTGTGTTTTTGTCATTTTGTCAATATTTATAATATTTTATTTAAATTTGTAATATAATTTTTATTAACTTTTATTTCATACAGTTATTTTATATATGCATTATGTTAAGCTGAATGAAAATGAGAAATGTCGCCTTTGCAAAGTTTTTTTTTTTTTAAATTCTGCTTTATTTCAGTGTTTTTTTTTTATTTTGTGTAAGGAAAACGGCTCAAAGATGCTCTGATGAAGAACAGCACATGACTGAGATGCTCTCTGTTCTCAGATCCAGCAGCAGGTGGCGCTGCGACCTTCATCATCCTCTTCATCCTCCTCAGTGTGTGCTTCCACATGAGTCAATCAGTGTCCGGCAGGCTTTTTAAGGGCCTAATGGATCAGGGTTATTATTGTAAATCACCAAATATTCCCTCAGTTCTGGATCTCAGCGTAGAAACGTCCAGAAAACACAGGTTTAGCTGGTAGCTGTTGGTTTTTAATTGTGTGTGAGCTGCTGTTTGATCAATACGCCGCATTAAGCATTTACCAACAGTAGCCTATTACCAAAGTTATGAACATCTGTGTGGCTCATGTCACGCTTCTCCCAGTAAGAGTTGATTTGGATTTTTGAATGAAATAAAAACTTCAAACTGGAGAAATATTGAGTCTAAATAGGATATTAGAAAAAGGAATAAACAGCGTAACACGCATGATTAATTTGGTTTATGCTCAGTGAACAGATTCAAGCGGCACAGAAACTCAGTCTTCAGTTAAACTTAATCATTTTAATAAAACATATTTTAAGTTATTTAACTCATCTAGAGGCCTCCTTTTAAGTTTGCAGAGACAACCATATACTAAATGTATGTTTCAGCTATTATTATGCGAGAATACTTCACCATACTTCGTTTGCTTATATACTGTAGTAACCATATATATATATATATATAACCATATATGAATTATTATTATTATCTGTGCTGTTAGATGTACAGTATATATATATATATACCTGTATATTTGTATATAAATGAGATGTCCCATGTTGGTGGTTTGAAGGATAGCGGCAAAGATTTCAAATGACAATTAATTCGTATTTTAGGGTTGAACTTAAATAGACTTTAAAATGTCATCTAATGATTCTTGTTCTGAACACAGCTTTATATCACTCAAAGATTGTGAAGATAGAACACAAGTGGACAGTTTTAATTGCACTATGTTGGAAAACGTACACTTATGAATATGAAACTTGACTAATAAAATGAGAAGATTAATAGCAAAAGCTTCATTATTCACATTATCGTAATTAAAATATCCAAAAACTACATTTTCAAAATGCAAATTAAAATGAAAGAGTGCCTTTTCTTTGATAAACATGGAAACATCATACCATAACTTTTTCACATAACTGCAATGCCAGAAAATGTACTGTTTCCAGCTGCAAAGAGCAACTAGCATCCATATGCTTCTTAAACTTACTCAGAAGATGTTTAACAGGATAGTATATGTGTCCCTGCAGCACAGAAGCAGTGTTGAGTCGCTGGGGGATATTTGTAGCAATAGCCAACAATACATTGTATGGGTCACAATTATACATTTCTCTTTTATGCCAAAAATCATTAGGATATTAAGTAAAGATCATGTTCCTTGAAGATATTTTGTAAATGTCCTACCGTAAATATATCAAAACTTAATGTTTGATTAGTAATATGCATTGCTAAGAACTTCATTTGAACAACTTTAAAGATGATTTTCTCAATATTTAGATTTTTTTGCACCCTCAGATTCCAGATTTTCAAATATTGTCCGATCCTAACAAACCATACATCAATGGAAAGATTATTTATTCAGCTTTCAGATGATGCATACATCTCAATTTAAAAAAAATTGACCCTTATGACTCCACCACCACTCCAGGGTCACGTTTATTAATTATTTTGAAAGAGATTTCTATTACTTTGTTTGTAACAACAACAAAACAAAAACTTGTGAGATGCAATAACCACTTTCCCACTAAAGATCATCAACAGATTCGGCTCAATAAGCAAAGGAGCCAGGCCTGGTCCTTTAGAATCAGAGCACGAATAGATCAGCTAGTTTTGGAAGGTGATTGACCCTTATGACTGCTTTTGTGCTCCAGGGTCACGTTTATTAATTATTTTGAAAGAGATTTCTATTACTTTGTTTGTAACAACAACAAAAAAAAAACTTGTGAGATGCAATAACCACTTTCCCACTAAAGATCATCAACAGATTCGGCTCAATAAGCAAAGGAGCCAGGCCTGGTCCTTTAGAATCAGAGCACGAATAGATCAGCTAGTTTTGGAAGGTGAAAAACTACTTTGCCCACATATTGTATGAGCTGCATTGACTCTGGGCATCCTCTCGTCCTCCTCCGGTGATGTCACCGCGGACGGATCCGTCGTAACCGGAGCTGCTGATGGCGTCACTGCGCGTCTCGAGCGCGCTGGCGGATCTCAGCAGCAGCAGCAGCAGCGAAGAGCGACGCGAGCGTGGCTCCGGCGGCCGGGATCGAGCGACGCCCAGCCGGACACCGAGCGAGGAGACGATGCAGGCTGTAGCGGAGGAGCTGCGGGCCGGCTCCCGGATCCCGGTGACCGTCGAGCAGATCGTCAACGACACGCTGGTGGTGACGCTCACGTACCGCGAGAGGAGCTACACCGGCGTCCTGCTGGACTGCAGCAGAAAGTGAGTCGCCTTTCTTTGTGTTTTTTTGTGCAAAAACACACTTTGGTCAGGTTAGGCCCAGCACTAGGCCAGGACAACACAAGCAGCAGGCCTTAATCAGAGACAATGAGAAGAGCTGCAACCTTCTTCATCATCATCATCATCATCACCACCACCACCACATTATAAACGCGAATAAATGGGCTCTTTTGTGTCGGATTGTGTGATGTTTCTTGAGTGTAGATTGCTTGATCTTTCTGCTTCAGCCGTGTAGCGTCTGGAGCTCTTTCATCTTTCATACATTGTATCATTGTATCATTTCCAGCTGAAGCATTGATTGATGTTCTCACGCGCAGTTATCATCGAGCATTCACGCAATCCGTTTAATCGAGTTAAATCCTCATTATTCTTCACGAAGGGTCAGATATGCCATTGTTATAAAAGCCTACCTGTCCTGGACATGCATTCAGTTTAAAGGTCAAATACTGCTGAACTAAACCTGTTTATTCGCTTCATCCGTCTAAATGCATTTTGGGAATTTCATTTAAATGATAAAATCTCACATGAGGCCTTTGATTGTTTACCTGTTTTCTCATATTTATAATGACCTGTCTTTAGTGCTGCACGATTATGACCAAAATCACAATTGTCGATTATTCCCTTGAAATTGTAATTGCGATTTATTAATTATGATTATCACAATTTACACCGAATGATGTTTGAAGCAACTGCATGCCATAATTTATATGAAAATAAACCAGCTGAAAGTATTAATACTTGCTTTTCTATAGTATTAAGCGTCAAATATATATTAGATTGGTTTCTTCTTAAAATGAAAAGTAAAACATATCCATGGTATTGGTATTATAATGTTATGCTAAAACTCTTAGAAACACATCTGAAGCATGCAGGATAACATAAGCGGACTTTGAACGATTATGTAATTGTGGCATGTGTAATTGTAATAGCGATTAGAAATTCGATTAAGTGTGCAGCAATTAAAAATGAATGTTATTTTCAGGTTTAATGTGAAATGTCACTCAACCGCTTCACAGCGTTATATTCCATTATAAACAGCATATGAACATGATATTTGCTGGAATATGAGCAACTGTGAGGTTTCTGTAGACACTGCATCAGAATATTATAGAGTGAAATGAAATATCGCCTGCATTCTAGAGCTGCGTTTATCGTTCAGTGTTTAGTAAGTTTACGTGGTATTCCATATATTTGGTTTAAATGTTAAATATTTTGACAGCTTATGATATAAACCGTCTACGTATGCTGGGTTTTATCTTATTTTATTACAGTGTCCCACAATGCAGTGCGCTCAACCTTTCATTTCCAGTGTGACCAGTGTTCCAGAACTATCATCTTTTTTTTTAACGTAGTATTTCATTAATAAACTAACAAAATGTACATGTTTTTGCACCAAACATAACTTCAGAAGAAAAATAAGCTGCATGCACTAAAAAAATGCTTTTACGAAGTTGTAAGTAAAGATTATTGGAGTATGTTTTACTAGAAAATACTATTGTTTTTATATTTCAAAATGTCATTTTCTACAACAGAAAAGCTTCTGCACCAATTTTTGAGTGTGCTAAAATAAGCTAAAAGATTTATTGTTATAAAAAATTAAAAAGGTAATTGTGACTTTTCCCCTTGCAATTCTGAGAAGAAAATCTAAATTGTGAAATATAAACTCAGTATTGCAAGGAAAAAACGTCAGAATTTTACTCGTTTTATTTTTCAAAAATAATAAAATAAATGCCAAATAAGCTGCATGCACTGTAAAAAAAAATATATGATTTTGCTCAATTGTAAATAAAGATTATTGAAGTATGTTTGCTAGAAAATACTATTTCAGTCTTTCGCCTTCAAATAAATGTCACGTGTTGCTTAATGTTTCACAAACAATGCCATTTAAAAGGTAATCGTGACTGTATCTCAATTCTGACTTTGTGCCTCGCACTTCTGAGAAGAAAAGTCTGAATTATGAAATTGCAATTGCAAGTAAAAAAGTCAGAAATGTGCTAATTTTGTTTTTCAGAATTAATTTACAAATGCAAACTAAGCTGCATTCACTGTAAAAAAGATTTTTCAATGTTGTCGTAAATAAAGATTTTTGAAGAGTTTTACTAGAAAATACTATTTATGTGTTTCTACTTCAGAATTTCACATTTAGGTCAGTGTGTTTGTTTTTCAGTGCTCTCAAATAATTATATTCAACTTTTATCATAGAATAATTTTTACGTTCTTTAAAATAGTGCGCAGAATTCAGTCTCAGTATTCAGTTAGCGGTCTGGGAGTGTTTAAATAGCATCATGGCCTGTCATGAACATTCGAGCTGTTATAAATACTCTGATTATGCAATGAAATGTTTTCTTACACCTACACACGCCGTGGTTTTTGGGTTCTGCCGCTGTAGGCCTCGAGGACAGGCGCTTCAGGGCTGCATCTCGGATGATTGGTGGTTATTGCCTGAGGGCTTCTGCCTCTTTTACCCGCAGGACTTCCTTCTGAGGTTTAATTAATAATCCCAGATTTCAGGGCTGGATGTGAAAACAAGCAAATCTCTTGGGCCTCTGCTGTGTCCCCGGTGGTTTATGGGATTGTTTTTGTTCAGTGAGGTGGAGGGGGATCCGGATCTCGTCCCGTTGGTCTCTTATGTCTGTCGTTTCTAACCGCACACAGCTCTTTGCTTTGGCTCAGGTTGCCTCTTTCACTGACTCATGCTCACCTCGAGGTGCCAGGCAGAAAAACAAAGTCAGAATTGCATGCAAAATATAAAATCAGAAGTGTAGGACATAAACTCACAGTTCTAAGAAGAAAAGTCAGAATTAAAACAAAGTCGCAATTACCTTTTTTAATTTTTTGTTCTGTGGTGGAAACAAAAAAACTGAATTGTAAACTCATTAAGTTGTGCGACATTAAGTCAGAATATTTCTATTTAGCATTCCTGACTTGTGTCCTCAGAATTGCTAGTTTATGTCTCTTAATTCTGAGTTTGGGTTAAAGACAGAAATTAGTTTTAAATAGTTTTTCTCTCTCTCTTCTCTGTATTAGAACGTGTTCTGTTTTTGAGGGTTTTTTTCTGAGGAAAAGCTAATGACTGTCATGCATTTTTACCATGATTTACAGAAAACACCCACTATAATGTCATTCAGCATAACAATAGTTAAAAAATCTTTTTAGATCAAGACTCATTAGATGACATTAAAACACTCTATTTAAGGATAACAGTTCAGCCCTAAAATACTGATTAATTGTCATTTTAAATCTTTACCAATCTTTGCCACTATTCTTCAAACCACTAGGTTTTACCCATTTATATAGTTATGAATAAAATGTAGTATAGCACTTATTATTTTATAGATTTTAATAAGTATGCATCAGAATATTATCATGTATGCTATTTCTATTTTTACATTAATAAATCTGTTACACCGAATGACAATAGAATGTTATTTCAACCCTGTGTTGACGTTTTATTTTCACAGAAGTTATCAGAAACATTAAAGTAGACACTTGCATTTATTATGCTTTTTATGCATATATATATATATATATATAAACAATCACTTTTGTAAATTTAATTCCATGCAGACGCCAAAATGGGACGTCTCATCTTTGACCCATTTATGTCTCACAATTCTGAGTTTAATTTTTATATTTTTATATGATCTCAGAATTGCAAAAAAAAAAAAATCTAATTTTTTTTCTCCTGTGGTGGAAATGGGCTTCCATATTATTCATATTAGTCATAATTCAGGCCTACTTAATTTCTGTCTCAGTTTCTCAAAACTTGTCATGGATTTGGATGTAGTATTTGTTTCATTAAATACAAATATACAAAGTGCTGAAAATCTATTGAGTATCACCACTGAGAATAATTTAAACTCGTTTACAGTAGTGAGGTGTTGGGGAGATAATGTGCCTAATTGTTATGAAAACAATGTCACAATGCACGTAATAATAACAATGGTTATCCTAAAATAGTCTTCATTTGCTTTAAGTTGTATTTTTCAAATGCCGTGTTTTTGTGAGATTCTTAGAATGAGAGTTTCTAAGAATAAGAGTTTTGAGAGATGAAGCGATATCTGTGGTGTTTTTTAAAGGCTATAAAAACAAAAAGGTGTGGTTATGTGTTGCGTGGTATGACTGGTTCACTAACCTGTTTTTCTGGTCAAGAGTCAGCTTGCCATTAGTAATGATTAATCGTGTATTTCCGTTCTTGAGCGTTCAGAGGTTTTGCAACACTGTGATAAGTGATAAAAATAAGGACATTTAAAGGTGATGTAAGTTTTTTGGGGTGTTTTTCTGTGCCATTTTAGATTATTGTAAACTAAATCCAAAGCCATAAAAATTTCATTTTTTTTGACAAACATTAACTGAAATAATATGATAAAAATAATGCACATTTTATTTATTTCAGTTAGTTTCTCAAGTTTAGTTTGTCGAAGTACTAAAATAACTAAAACTATTTTTTACATAATGACAAAAAACACAAAACAAAATGACAAACTTTGTAAAGATTGTGGCTCAGCATCCCGACATTATCTTGACCATCTGTTCGGCCAAACAATGGTGGACGGGGGAGTGTCAGAAAACCAGTATTGTCCTTTTTTTTTTTTTTTTTTTGTTTATTGGGGCCCCGGGGTTAAATTTTAGATTATTGTAAACTAAATCCAAAGCCATAAAAATTTCATTTTTTTTGACAAACATTAACTGAAATAATATGATAAAAAAATGCACATTTTACTTATTTCAGTTAGTTTCTCAAGTTTAGTTGGTCGAAGTACTAAAATAACTAAAACTATTTTTTACATAATGACAAAAAACACAAAACAAAATGACAAACTTTGTAAAGATTGTGGCTCAGCATCCCGACATTATCTTGACCATCTGTTCGGCCAAACTATGGTGGACGGGGGAGTGTCAGAAAACCAGTATTGTCCTTTTTTTTTTTTTTTTTAGTCTAATTGGTGCCACGAGGTCTAGAAAAGTCTTGACTCAGAATAACAGAACGTCAGGAAGCTTTTGTGTCGATGTACAGAAGCGCAGTATTATGGGTAATTAACCTCCAATACTCTGTGCATTATGATATGAATGTACTTTATTGTCCCCAAAGGGGAAATTTGTAATGGACCCAATAGCCAAGCATTTTGACAAAAACCTGATGCATTTAAAAATGAAAACAATATTCATACACGCTATACACATCAACCACTCACAGATACAGAAAGGCATAAGCATCGCTGATCAGTATTCAACAATCTAATTGATACTGGTATAAAAGAGTGTTTAAACCTGTTCCGCTTACAATGAGGGATTCTATACCTTCTTCCAGAGGTTAAGAGCTCAACATAGAGTGCTAATGATTAATCGCATCCAAAATAAGTTTTTCTTTACATATGTGTGTACTCTGTATATTATTAGGTATATATAAATACATATACAAGCATGTATATATTTAAGAAATATGTTGTTTATACGTTAAATATATCTATATATAATATATAAATTATATGAATGTAAACGTACACATGTTAACATGCGTGTATTTGTATGTACATAATAAATATACACAGTTCACACACACACATACGATGTAAAGAAAAACTTTTATTTTGGAAAAGCAAAAATCTTTTGTAAAAATCTTCTAAATCTTTTTATTTATTATATAATTTTTAAAAAACTTGCTATGTGTACTGCATTTGGCTAACTGAGACTTCTGTTGGTTTCGATTGCTTCTATTGTCCTCATTTGTAAGTCGCTTTGGATAAAAGCATCTGCTAAATGACTAAATGTAATGTAAATGTAAGAAATTAGCATCCCACACCACTCAACAAATGAGTTGAGTGAAATGATTGGCTCTTATGTTCCCTCTTGACTCTTTTCCGTAGGACTGGGCTGTTTTGCCTTCCAGACGTTTTTGGAAAATCCGAAGAGAGCCTCATATTGAAACCGGACTGTGAAGTCTCGAGTGAAGAGGCTTCCTCTGAACCTGTTAGTCAGCTGACGCAGCGACCAAAAGATGAGAACACGGAGCCTGAGGTGGCACCTCCGCCCGCTCCCGTACCCATCCCGGTGCAACCGGGCCAGCCCACATATCCGCCGTACTTCGAAGGCGCCCCGTTTCCGCAGCCCATGTGGGTCCGGCACACATACAACCAATGGGTACCGCAACCACCGCCACGTCCAATCAAGAGGAAGAAGAGACGAAGTCGAGAAACTGGAAGGATGACCATGAGCACAATCCGACTGAGACCTCGGCAGGTGCTGTGTGAGAAATGCAAAAACACACTAAACAGCGACGAGGAGAGCAAAGATGGACCAACGGTGCCCAAGACGTCTAGGAAGGAGAACGCTCCTCAAACTGAGGAGGACACTAAATCAACCCCAGCCAAGAGGAAGGACGACGGAGACAACAACAACAAAGAGTCAAAGAGACGAGAGGAATCGACGGTCTATGACAGCAAACGCTTCCGCAAGGACAAGAAAGACGATGAGAAGCTTCCCAAAGGGGACATCGTTCCCCATAGTCCCGTGATTAAGATCTCTTATAGCACTCCACAAGGCAAAGGCGAAGTGATGAAGATCCCCTCGAGGGTTCACGGTTCTGTCAAACCTTTCTGCCCGAAGCAGCTTCTGCAGAATGGCCACGGAGAGCAAAACGCTTCCAAGGAATCCCAAAAAGTCATGCAATCTCCTGTAGACACCATCCGAACGGGTCTTACCATTTCAATTCCCAAACTCAAGCTCCCAAAGTTGAGTAATCCGGACGCCCATTCACCCAAGATACACTTGAGATCCCGGGCCGACGGAGCGGAGCAGGTGTCCGCTTACGAGGCGGAACTAGTGGACGGCGTTCGGAGGAAAAGTCCTAGAGTTCCCAACTCTCAGTCTGAAGATGGTGCGGAGAAGAATTCGCTAGAGCTTTGGTCAGGCGAGGAAGTGGAACGGCACGGCGACTTGACTTTACTCATCAACTTCCGGAAGAGGAAAGCAGACTCGTCGAGCCTCTCCGTGTGCAGCAGTGACAGTCTAGACGAGTCCAAGTCGTTCAGCTCCGACGGAACGTCACCGGAAATCTGCGACCTCGCTCCAGGCGACGATATCGCAGTCTCGTCTTCCTCTCAAGGGGAAAGTAAGACTGTTCCGCCTCTCACCGTACGACTGCACACTCGCAGCATGACTAAATGCGTGACCGAGGAAGGTCACGGCGTAACAGTGGGTGATGTTGTTTGGGGGAAGATCCACGGATTTCCCTGGTGGCCTGCGCGGATACTCAGTATTAGTGGTATTCGTAGAGAAGAAGGCGAGGTCGATGCTCCTTGGCCCGAAGCTAAAGTCTCCTGGTTCGGTTCGCCCACCACCTCCCAACTCTCAGTTGCCAAACTCTCGCCATTCCGCGAATTCTTCAGGTCACGCTTCAACCGCAAAAAGAAAGGGATGTACCGCCGTGCCATCATGGAGGCCGCCAAGGCGGTGGGACACATGAGTGCCGAAATCACATCTCTGCTGACTCACTGCGAAACTTAGGTGAGTCTCTGGTCTTTCTTTGTGTGAAATAACAAGCATAGCATACTTTAGTTTTGACGTACAGCAGAACGCTTTCAAAGTATTGCACGCCCTCGAGCCATGCGCTCTAGAAAGTTTAATCTTTGCCAAGTATCTGCACTATTTCTCTCTAGAAGCAATAAAATTGTGTGTTGTTTTTGTTGTTGTTCTGTATATTGTTTCTTTTAAAGATGTAAAACAATGGCCTTGGGCCAGTGTCGACACCTTGTGGAACAAAATTGCAATTGCAATAAAAAAAAAATCTATAGTTTTGCTTATTTGTTGGGATGCACATTTTGGCCCAAAATTTTGTGATTTATATATACATATGACTATATAATAGTCGTTGTTGTTGTTATTAATATTCATTAATAATAATTATTGTTATTACTAAGCAAAATATTAGTATTATTATTACAATATTATTATTGTAAACAAATAAACTATTTGAGTAAAATTATATAAATAGTAATTTTTATTTTACTGTCTCTCTCTATCTACCTAAAATAAATAAAAGTTTAGTGGTTTAATGTTTTAAAATTAATAAATGAAAATTAAACCACTGAACGTTTATTTTGAAATAAACTTACTCTGAAACTCTAAAACACGTAGCACGTATATTTATTTAATGAATTAATTTATTTTGATTAATCATGCAGGCCTAATATCTGTTTGTGTATTTGTCTCCAAAAATATTCAAGGTGCATGTGCATTCTAAACGTACAGAGTGCTCACGGTTAGAAAAAATCAGGCAATGCACGTACTATGTTAATATTGAAATTTGCATAAGGTGCACCTTACATATACCCTTGTGTACGTGTAACAAAAGCTTTACTGTTCTTTGTTCAATTGTGTTTTTAGGTACACATTTTCTTTAAATTTCATGAACTCTAAAAGTTATTGAAAACAGTAGGCTTCATTTCTGTTTTGCATAGAAATGTCTTTAAATTCCCGGTTGGTTCCCATGGCCTCAGTTTCTTTGGAGATTAGGTCACCTCATGTTTATTGAGGATCAGATGCAGTCTTGGTTCAATATTGGCTCAAGTTCACAAACCGCTCCCACTGCCAGTGTTTGGACTCACGAATTTCCCTCCAGCCATGTTTAGTCACATCTACCACTGTGCTTTGCATGACTACATGTCTGCGGATCCAAACTTCAGTGCATCGTTATGCATCATTTGTGCATTTTTTTATGCATGCATTTTTGTGTAACATTTGTGCATTTTTATGCATGCATTTTGATGCTTCATTTGTGCATTTTTGTATGCATGCACTATTATGTATCATTTGAACATTTTTATACATGCATCTTTTATCCATCATTTGTGTATTTTTATATGCATGCATTTTTTGCTAAATTTGTACGTTTTTATCCATGCACCTTTCATGCATGCATTTTTGTATTCTCTTTACATCAAATTCTTGACTCACAACAAACTCCCAATGATTTGTTTTTAGCAGGTTGACGTCATTCTCAAATAAGCATATCAATGCACAGTGCATGCAAATACTGGGTTTAAATAATGCAATTAATTGCATTTTTCCCAATACTGAATACTGTTCTGTCTATTCATATATCTGTTTGTTTTCTCTCTGCAGAGGACGAGGATGGCAATGGACTGGCTGTCATTCAGGGTTTTGCAGGTGCTCCCAGGATTTGGCGATCTCCCCGGATGGAGAGCGCCTTCGTTTGCCACGGATATCATGAGGGAAGGTGCTTTATTTCCCTCCACACGCGGCTGTTGGAAGAAAACGCGATGCGCGGACTGTGTTCGAGGGGCCACGAGGAGAATGTGGGAACCTCGGAGCGAACAATTCCCCTGTTTGTCTCTCCATCTTTCATTTCTTTGTTTTTTTTAGGACGTACATGATATTAGAACAAGTAGCTCGACACTAAATCCGAATGTATTTATTCACACAAAAAAAAAGCACTCGACCGGTGACTGGCCTCCTGTAAGATCTCACTGCTGCTGTTTCTTATGACTCTGACGTCCGTTTAGGATTCGAACGGAACGACGAATATCCGTATTATACAAAACGACAAGTCTTACTGTGTCTGTTTCTTCAGATTATGAAAATGTGAAATTCCTTTTTTGCATCATGTAGGTCTTACACCATGCAGTATGTCAGTCGCTTCACTTTCTCTATCCTCTCCAAGAAATATATCTCTCGTATGTCTCTCCATCCTCTTTTTCACTCTTGATTATGTGATGTTTTGCTTTAATTATTTAATGTGTCACGTTAAGAGAAGCACTTTATCCGTACCTTGGTGGCCTGCTGTGAACACTAACTCGAGTTTGCAGACTCTCGGAGTAGCCAACCCATCGCTTTTGAAGTGATTTTTAGTTTTTACGATTAAAGGATGCTTACAGGAAGTTGTGTACACTGTATTCTCACGTTTAGCCCAGTTTACGTTGCTTTCCTCCTTTATGAAATGTTCCACTGGAGATCTGGAGAGAACTGTACGCTCCTATGCACCGTTTCTTTTATTAAAGCATAAAAAGCAGCGTGTTGGTGATTGGTCATATCTACAGATTTGGAACTCAATTTAAATGTCATGTATTGTTAAACAATTAGCATTACAAGGTTTGTGGTCGGTAAGATTTGTAATGTTTTTATATCTTCTGATCAATAAGGCTGCATTTATCAAAAATACAGCAACATTTTTAAAAATATTATTACAATTTAAAACAGCTGTTTTCTGTGTGAATCTCTGTTAAACTGTAATGTATTTCTGTGATGCGCAGCTGTATTTTCAGCATCATTACTCCAGTCTTCAGTGTCACATGATCTTCAGAAATCAGTATAATATGCTGATCTGCTGCTCAACAAACATTTCTGATTATTATCAATGCTGAACACAGTCGTGCTGCACAATATTTTTGTGGAAACTGTGATGCATTCTATTTTTCAGGATTCACAGATGAACAGAAAGTTCAAAAGAACAGCGTTTATTTGAAATAGAAATCTTTTGTGACATTATAAATGTATTTACTGTCACTTTTGATCAATTTAATGCATCTTTGATGAATACAATATTAATTTATTTTACACAAAAATCTTACTCGCCTCAAACTTTTTTATTTTTTTTATTTTTGGAGTGTTAGTCACTTTCAGGTGTTTTTGTATTTTTTATGTTTTTGCAAATATTGTATTATATTTGAGTGAAACTGGCTATCCAACAGGAAACGTTTTGGACAGGAGCTGATTTTATCATGATGAATTGAATGGCTGAAGATGATTTAAAAGAGAGATACGTGATGTTCCAAACCTTTGACTTTCTCTGAAGAATCTGTAAGAAACAGAAAGGAGCTGTGTAACCCGTATACTTATTTCTGTTCAAAATCACAAACGTAAGTAGAAGTAGACTAAACTGGACGCAAGAACAGATGTTACTTCTTGTCCAGCTGCTTAATGAAAACAAGGATATAATCAAAGGGAAATCTGGAGTTGGGATAACCTCCAAAACCAAAGGCGATACCTTTTTAAAAGCTCATTATCGTCAAATAATGCTGCTGCTTCTCCCCACAGATGCTCTGATCTGATGAGCCTTTGGCACTGTTGATCTAAAAACACACTTGTGTAGGCGAGAAATGCACTACTGGTGCTCATGGTTAATGTTAGTTTGTGTTAAACGTCAGAAGAACAGGCTCTGATTAACCAGCTGAGAGAGACCTAAAGCACAGTCCTTCAGACCACAGAAACTCATTCTGACTCATCAAATCCAGCAGTTTGACTCATCATGAAAGCCTTCCTCACTGCTGTCATCATCATCATCATTTATGAAGCTGGTGGTTTTCATTCTGCTGAGTTTATGGTTTAATTTCCTGCACTCATGACTAAACGGATCCATGTCAGGAGAACTGTAGAAATGTCCATATCTCAGCAAAACATAAGAAATTGTGCATAAAGAGAAGAATGCATGCATGGAAGGACCTTTAAGATTTATTTATTTTTGCATTGAGATGTTATTTTCATATTGTCATTGACAGTGACAAAAAAAAATCTCATTACAGTAAGGCAGAGAAAAGTTAAGTGCACAATGTATTATTTTCGAAGTGTAGTTGAATTTTTACATTGTGGTCATGTTTGTTGTCCTGAACTGAATTTATATCAGTTTTATAGAGCGATTTGAATCAGAATCAGAATCAGAAGAGCTTTATTACCAAGTATGTTTACACACACAAGGAATTTGACTTGACGACAGGAGCTTCCAGCAGAAGAAAGTACAAACATAGTGCAGACATACATAGGAATAACACAGTAGGGATGTAATATAACACTAATATAATAAAAAAAGAAAAACGGAATAATGTACTATATACAGAAATAGAAGTATAGGAAAACATGTAATTGTTTAGATAAATGTACAGATATGTTATTTACAAAGTGTGCAGTTTAATATGAATATACTGTTTGGATGGGTTCTTTAGTGTATTATTATTATATCATATGTTAGTATATTATTTTTGCCTTACGCTAATAGAAATTGGGGGTTTTATGTGCCTAAATGTCAAGAAAAGAATGTCATAATGAAAAAAATATACTTTATTTAAATTTTTTGTTGTTCATTCATTGCTATTGTGTTTTCAATTTTTGTGTTTGTTTTTAAAGGGGTCATATGATTTTCAATGTTCTAAAAAGAACATTATTTTGTGTATTTGGTGAAATGAAATGTGTTTATGCGGTTTAAGGTTCAAAAAACACATTATTTTCCTCCATTCATTCATTCATCATTATTGTTTCTCCTCTATGCCCCGCCTTTCTGAAACGCATCGATTTTTACAAAGCTCATCGGTCTGAAAAGCGAGGTGTGCTGTGATTGGCCAGCTATCCAGTGCGTTGTGATTGGTCGAATACCTCAAGCGTGTGACGGAAATGTTACGCCCCTCACCATATTGTGATGATGCCCTGTCCGGCCGGAGCGACGAGACAAAAACATTAAAACCCATTATAAACCAGGCATTTGTTGCATCCAGTGGAGACATAATTACTGATTATAATGACTTATACTGTCTTTTCAGGCATTGCATCGCGCCGCGTAAACATAAAACCATGTCTGCATTTGTGATCGGAGAAATGACAAACAACAAGTGCTACTCTACACTGCTCAAAACTCACGTTTGAATCGTCAGTGGCAAATTCTTTAAATATAAAAAACATACTGACAGTCTGTGAGTCAGAACAGCCGGCATTGTAGTCTACTCTCCCAGGATCAGGAGACAGTCCTCCATAAAATGTGCTGCACACATCTGAATATTTGGGTTGAAGGGTTCTGGAACAGTGTTGTAAATACAACTTAACCACTGATTTCTAGTCGTGTCCTCTTTAGGAAGACCAAACAAAGTAGTTTCACTTTCACAACGAAGCACACAGCGTCTTCACGACATGGCGGCGGCAGCAACAATACTACAGCGAGAATAAAAGTTACGCCTTCTTTCTTTGCGTGAACATTTGGGCGGCGTTATGCAAATCTTCCCACATAGTGACGTAGGCATGTGGGGGCGTGTTAGAACGAGGTGTTTTAGGTAGGCGTGGCAGAGTCTTAACTTTTATAAAGAATATCTCTTTGGATTTGAGACTTTAGTCTTTGCAACTTTACAGATCTTCTTTATGCACCAAGAGCTTGTAACACTCCAAAGAGAAAGAACACATTTTAATCGCATCATATGACCTCTTTAAATCTGTATTGTTTTTATTCATTTTATTTAGTGTTTTAGTTTAAACTTTTAATGAAAGTAAATGTTTTTTTTTCTTTCTTTCTAGAAAAAATACATGAAAGAAATAATATTTAATATTCTAAGCTGAAAACTAAAAAAAACTCCCCAAAAATCTATGTGTATATACATATGTATACATATACATACAGCTGTCTGTGTTCAGGAAATGTGAGTGTATGTGTGTGTGTATATACAGTATATATACTGTATATATATATATAATATGTGTGTGTGTGTTCAGTAACGGAGGGTGCGGCGCTAGTAAAACAAATGCAGGTCTCTGGATGCTCTCCAACATCTTATATGAATCGTTTCTCCTGCTTTTCTCTTTCAAGACGTCTTGAAGGCCTGCTCTGCTGTATTGATCTTGATCTGTAATTCAGTGCTGTAGAGTCTGTGTGACTGTGAGTGTGTGTGTGTGTGAGTGTGTGTGTGTGTGTGTGAGACTGTGAGTGAGTGTGTGTGTGTGTGTGTGTGTGTGTGTGTGTGGATAATCTTTCACACATGCACACTTCCACATCTTCAAACTTAACAAGAGTGAGATCCAATAGCGTTTAATTCCTCTTTATGAGACTATATGAATATGCTAAAATGTGAATCAGTGTTATTTTTCATTGAGAAAGTATTATATTTTTATTATTAGTTTTTCTTTCTTATTTTTCATTTTATTTATTTATTTTTGTTGAAGTTTTAGAAATTTTTATTTTGAGTTTTTGTCGTTTTGTATTAGGTTTTTTTATGTATATGTCTGTAATTGTATACATTTTTATTTCAGTTTCAGTTTTAGTTATTTTGTTATAAATATTTTTGTTATTTTATTACATAAAGTTAAACTAAATGAAAAACTATTAATAGTTCTTATTAATAGTTTCAATAAGTTGTATTTTTATTTTACTTTCTTTTGTCATTTTTATAGTTTTTTGTCATTTTTATTAGCTTTTTAAATATGTGTAGAATTTGTATTCCTTTCTATTTCAGTTTGAGCTATTTTAGTTTGTATATTTTAGTTAAGTAGGTTACATCAAGTTAAACTAAATGAAAAATTATTATTAATTTTCTTTTTTCATTTTCTTGTTTTGGTTAAAGTTTTAGAGATTTTGTTTTGTGTTTTCGTTATTTTTATAATTTTTTTGTTTTTTAATAGGTCTGCAAATTATTGTGTTAATTATTGGTTCAGTTTTAGATTTAGTTAGTTTAGTTATTTTTGTACATCAGATTAAAGTAAATACAACTAGATTTGTTTCTTTGGCAACTAGCTGAAATAAAATAAGTTCGATTTTTTTTATGGTGTTAGCTTTAGTTAACTATAATAACCCTGATGTGAATAAGTCCATATTTTCAGTAAGTGATGTCTGTTCCTCGTGCAAAACATCAGAATACTTGGAAAATATTCATGAATGACTGTTGTGATACTAAAACGTGCTTTTGTGGTGTTTTTGAATCTTGACAGCTCCTGTCACACTATACATCTGTCATACAGGAAAAGTGAATCAGAAACACTCTGCTAAACATGTTGTTTTGTGTTCTGTGAATGATAACACAGGGATCTGAATAGCGTTGGAAGGATCAGAGAGCACGGATAGGAAAAGAGACGAGGACAGAGGTGAGCTGAGCTTTAAATAGACTCACAACTGAAGCCTCTTCAAGCTGCAGGAGGAATATAATGAAGCTCTTCTGCTCCCATCCCCCAAACCCAGCCATACATGCTGAGATCCTCCTCAAAATAGGTTCAAATGCTAACAAAAGCAAACAGGCTGTGTAAATATTTGTGCTGGGAGACAGGGATAGGAACGGCAGT